GAAAGATCGCAATTTGCTTGCAGAGACACTTGACTAATAGTGGCTGCTCTTCTTGTTTTCTTTTATAAAGTGCGGAGAACACAACTAATGTATGATTGATCACAACTAATGGTGTGCTAAGTTTATTATGAAAAGCCATGTCGATCTCCATAGTCGTCAAGATGTATCTAACAATAACTGAGTAGCTAGTACTGTTTAGACTACAAGGTCCAAAGGACAACTCACCACCATTTTGTGCATGATTGTGCAAAGATGTGTTGAATAGATCTCAGTTTTTCAGGACCTAGATAAATCTTAAACGGAAGTTGGAAACCCACTTGACCAAAAATAAGTATGTTACCTACTTAATAAGCTGATGGTTTTTAACTCGGTCGAAAATGAAGTTTTCGCAACAAAACTCTACAGTTGTGCTAAAGGTTGGAAGTTATAACTTCTAGCAATGTTACATGTCCTTTAACTAAGCTAGCACATTGAGACTTGAACTACTTTACATAGTGCTACATGTTTTCTAAAGCCCTATAAAATGTGTGCCCAATGGAATTTGAGCAGGTCGATATCTTAAAGTGTTTCTTGCATGCACCAAAATTTTAAAGTTATGATAATGATTGACCATTCTAATCTTATACTCTAAGAGCAGCTCCAATGGGGAGGCTGCATTTTGCAGCCTCCCCAAAGAATATTCTCCTGAATATTCTTTTTTAGAGGGGAGGAACTCCAACCACTCCCCTCTATATGAAGCTCCATTTATATTTTTAAATGATTATTTATATAATACTTTAAATGATTTTGCAAATATAAAATGTTAAAAATTTATATGAATTAATTTAAAATATAAAATATATTATAAATTAATACTAAAATTATAATATATAATATAATCACTATATAAATAAAATTAATTATCTTTAATAAATTGATAATAAGACATAAATAAGAGCCTTTAAAATTTAAAAACCGGAAAATACAGCATAATATTTAGCATAATATTTGGAACAATCTTCATAACTACTCCAAAGGATGAAATTTTATATATTACATTCAGCGGCATTACATAGAAAAACAAAGTACATGAAAAAAATTAAAAATCTGGCAGATCATTTCCTCCATATCTACCGCTTCTGCAGTCAGGTATTCTGTATTGACTTCATGCATAACTATATTCAGGATTAGGAATATCAGATGAAGAACCTCCAGTTGTGTTTATATTTAAAATCTCTTATTTTTTAATTCGAAAATACTCGCATTCCGAAGGATCAGTAATAGTATCAAGATTAATTAACATAATTTTACTTTCCGTCGTTCCCTTTGAAGATCTAATTTTTTTCTTATCGTTTTGGGCCTTTAACATCATAATCGGGTGCATTGTCATTCTATCATTTTCTCGTTGTCCATGACTTTTTTAAAAATATCAACAATTTCTTGATTACTTTTATTGAGAGTTTCAAGGTCGATGTTCTTTTCAATTGCATATCGCCTCCTCATCTTCTCTTTCTTCCTTCCTGTATGCCGACTTGTTATCATATCGTCATCATTATTAGTATATCCCTCATTATCGTCATTTAAGTCAATGACAAGATAACTTGAATCTGATCCCTGAGATGAGCGGGAAATTGCAGTTTTAGAAGTTGCAGGCCATCTAACACTTATATTTGCCCATTTCTCTGCATCTTTTAAAATTGACCAAACATGATCAAATAGAAACCCTTTCTCTCTTATGGATCTTCTACAAATATTATCCTAGCACATTTAATCTACCACAAGAGTGGAAGAAACATTTATTAATAACATGATAATAGATGATAATCAAGATTTATGTTATTCAAATACTTACAATGTCAAGCTATAAGCATCGCTTGGATTTAGGCACTCGACTTGTCAAATGCATCCTCGAATTTTACTGATGGCCTTCATAATTAATTGCATTCAGCATGAGAGAGATTTCGGAGTCCTTTAAGCATTACAAATATTGGAAATCCTTTCATGAAATAAAGCAGAAATTCGTTCCCACAACTTGTCCTTCTTTTGATTAGAACCCATGACTGGGTCTTGAGAAATTTCGAGCCACGTGGCGCATAAAATTTGGTCTTCTTCTTATAAAAAAGATTTTTCGCGACTGGATGCCATAATCTAAGGAGATAAAGTTGTTGATGATGATACTATTATGATGGAGGAATGCAAAGAGTTATGAATATAGAATAAGAAGAGTTGTGGTGAAGATATGAAAATTGTGCAAGTATTATATATGGATCAGATGTGAAGAGTCTCCAACACCAGGAGAATTCAATGTGGGGAGTCTCCATTTTTAAGAGAATCCAATGTGGGGAGTCTTCAACACGAATGGAATCCAATGTGGTGAGTCTCCAACACAATGAATCCAATGTGAGGAGTCTCCAACACGGAAGGAATCCAATATGGGGGAGAATCCAACACAGAGATAATCCAATGCTGGAGAGAATCCAATGCTGATAAGAATCCTATGCAGGGAGGAATATTATATAATGACATTACATCCATCTCTAAATAACTCACAACTTATATTTTTATTTCTATAAATAACTTCTTCAACAATGAACTATGGAGCCGGACCGTCACATCCTGACGACGAAATATTTTCTCAACACATTAAATATTAGGAGGAAGATATGACACAATGGGAGAAGGAAGATGAACTCTTAGCTCGCGTATATGCCTCTAATAATGAAATAATGACTTATCTCTCTCAAGAGGCAGAGTGGCCAAAGTGTATTGGCTCAGTTCCTGGTCATTTGGTGATCAATCGCGGGAGGGAAGAAGGTAATTCTCGACTCTACCATGACTATTTTTCTGATAATCCTGCATATGGTGTAAACCTATTCCGTAGAAGGTTCCGGATGCACAGGAGTTTATTCCTTCGTATAGTCGAGGCGGTACGTGAGCATGACAACTTCTTCGTACAGAAGATGGATGGTGTCGACAAACTTGGGCTATCAACTTTACAAAAAGTTACAACGACATTTCGCATGTTAGCATATGGAACATCAGCAGATAGTACTGATGAATATGTTAGGATCGGTGAGACAACTGTAATTGTATGTTTAAAGAGATTTTGCTGAGCAATTGTAGAAGTATATGGAGATGAATATCTGAGGACCCCCAATGTCGACGATGTTGCAAGGTTATTACAAAAGGGCGAAGAAAGAGGTTTTTCAAGAATGTTGGGAAGTCTAGACTGTATGCATTGGCAATGGAAAAATTGTCCAACAGCATGGGCAGGACACTACTCGGGCCGTCATGGAGGTCCAACCATTATTCTTGAGACAGTAGCATCATATGATCTATGGATATGGCACACGTACTTTGGCTTACCACGATCCAATAACGATATTAATTTATTGCAATCGTCTAATTTGTTCGACAATCTATCACAAGGTATTACTCCTCTTATTCATTACACAATTCAAGGAAAATATTATGATGTCGGTTATTATTTAGCCGATGGCATATATCTGAAATGACCAACACTTGTTCAAATCATTTCCAATTCCGATGATAAAAAGGAAACAATATTTTGCAATGATACAAGAAGCATGTCAAAAAGATGTGGAGCGGGCATTCGGTGTTCTCTAATCACGATTTTCTATCAAGGGGCCAGCCCGTTTTTGGGATAAACAAACTCTGCATGATATCATAACTGCTTGTATTATAATGCACAATATGATTATCAAAGATGAACGCGACGAGCAAGAAGATGTTGTCATTTCAACTTCACAATCAAATTCCGAATGCTGAAAATATGAAGATAACAAAAACTGAACGATTCCAACAGTTCCTTGCTCAACATAAAAGGTTGAAAAACAAAGAAGCTCATTTTGCACTTCAAAATGCATTGATTGAACATTTGTGGGAAAGACATGGAAATGAAAACATTTTTTAATAATAAAATAATGACTTTTCATTTTTAATAACTTGGTTCTTAAATTTTTATATTTCAATTAATATTATTCAATATTAGTCTCATTTTGAAGGTATAAACAAAACATTTCCAACTATAAAATTTTTATTTAAAAATAATTAATAGAAATAAACTTATGTTATTTAAATTAATAGTTACTGATTAAAAATGATATGAAAGTAATAAGTAATTGTTTATAAATTAAAAAAAGGACAAACTTGGCATTTAAGAAAAATGCACAGTTCATTTGCACCAAATTGCAAATTGAGGGCGAATGCTACATAATGCAGCCTCATTTCCTCCGGCTACAAAATGCAGCCCCATTGGAGCGCTTCGGGGCTACAAAATCCAATTTTGCAGCCCCGTCCATTTTGAAGCTGTTCTAATGAAAGTTGTACTCACATAGAAATACTCAACAAGATGTTAGCTATAGTGCTCACTGGAATTTGAACATGGTTGCTACGATAATATCTTAAAATTCTTTTTTCCTAAACCAAAATTTCAAAGCTATTATAATGATCGATCATTCTAATTTTATAATCTAATGAAAACCATACTTGCATAGAAACCCCCAAAAAGATGTTGATTGAAGTGACCAATGCAGTAAATAAACTTTCATTTTGAAGAGGGTTGGTGTCTAAGTGAACAGAACGCAGACAGACAACATCAGTAGAAGATTTGGTAGGAATTATGAAAGAAGAGTGCAGAGTGGAGGCAGCACCAAAGGCCAAAGTGTGAAGAATAGGAGCATGGAAGAGCATTGAGTAGATGGAGCTTCAAATTATTGCAGCATTAACAACAATAATGGTTGGTTTATACTTTTCATTTCCCCCAAATGATCATCCTAATTGTGTCAGGCACTAGCTAAAGTGGCGCATGACGTCTTTGATAAGGTCATCTTGAAGTATTTACTTCATTTCAACATCACAAGGCATTAGCAATCTAAATGCGTAATAAGATATAGAAGCGAAGTGAAATATAAAAGTTTTGAATTACATTATGAGAAACCCAATTTGATTCAGATATTTATATGAGAAACCTTTCCATAAGAGCCAAGTGTGCATTCATCTAAATCTTTTAGCAAGAAGTTCCATCAAAATATATCAAACAAACTTTTAGCAAGAAAAGGGAGATGATGCAAATTGAAACCAAATTAAACCATTTGCAAGAAAAATGCCTTAAAATCTGATATTGTAATAAACTACCCATCACACTAAAACCTCCAAAAATTTACAAGAGCATCCAATGAAGCAACCTCAAAAAGAGTCCCAAAATCCCCATCACTCCTCATCTTTATCCTCAAGTTCCACATCTTCGTCCTCAAGCTCTTTTTTGTCTGAGCTTTCCTTCTCCTTCTCCTCTGCATCTTCCTCCTTATCAGAACTTTCCTTTTCCTGCAAACAATTTTTTTTTTAAAAATTACAATTTCAAACCCAATAAGTACCAGCTTCACATATAATCGAAATACATAAAAACGTATCAAACAAAATCAACTGAATTCACGTACTTCCTCATCCCCTCCAGCGTTGTACTTCTCCATTGCCTTCTCATACTCTGCCTTGAGCTCTGCAGCTCTATCTGTATACACTTTCCTCTCCTGTCATTAAACCAGCGAACAATTAGTAAATTGCAACTAACACCAAAACAAAATTCAAATCGCAATTAGCTTACTTCATCAGTTAATGACTTCCACTTCTCACCACCCTCTTTAGCGGTAGCAGTTACCCCCTTAGCATCAGGATGAGCTTCCTTGTATATTTTTCTAAATTCATCCCTGAAAATTAAAATATTTGGGAAAACAATTCACTTTGAGAGGAAGACAAAGAAAACATTTTATGTAATTTTTTTTATTTTTGAAGAATCAGAATGAGTACATGAAAACAAAGAAAGCAGTAGGAGGGCGCTTGGGCTTGTTCGGATCATCTGATTTCTTCTCCTTCTTGCTTTTCCTCTCTTTGCTCGACGACGAAGCGGCCCTCTTTCTGTTTTCGGTTCACAACAAAACCCCATTTTTATTTTGCTCAAAAATTAAAAGCCCATTAGGTTTTCTTTAGAATTTAAAACCCATTTTTAATTTACCTCTCGGGTTTTTTGATCTGGACTTCCTTCTCAGTAACCTGAGCCTCTGTTTACAAAAATCAAAACAACAACAAAAATAAATCAGAATTACCCTAAATAGAAATTAAAAAAAATGTGATTTTGATACGAAAAAAAAGAAATAATACCCAGATTCATTCGAATCTTAGAATCGAGACTGCAACTGTGCATGTCGATGAGAACTACAGGCACATCCTTGTTGCAAGCTTCGCTGAATAAATCAAACAAAACCCACAATAAATCTTTGACGTAAATTGAAACAAATGGGTTCGATTTAATCACCATAAACAACATGAAAATGGTACCAGCGAGTGAAAGCGCTGCCGTCCTTTGCTCGTTTCAGCATGGTCTCGGCTTCGACCCTCTTTCTTGGCCTCGGTGGGTTCGATTTAGATGAAGATCCAGCCATTGCTTGATTAAGAGAGGGGGAGATTGAGGTTGAGGAAATGGGGGGAAATTGAAGCTTTTTGGGGGGATTGAGGGATCTGGGTTTGCTTTGGGGACTTTAAAAGAAGCGAAGGGGGGAGCGAAAAAGCTTTGAGGTTTCGCGCGGTTTTGTTTTGGTTTTGGTTTTTACGATTTTTTTGGGAACTAGTTTGATTCAAATTTTGCTGGCGATCCGCGGGAGATGGTTTTGTTCGTTTGTGGCCGTTGGTTTTGGGGAATTGGACGGCTCAGATTCGCTCTGCTGGATGATTGGTGAAATAAAAGCGCGGGAGCGCGGGTTTTTTTGAGTGATGATCTGGACCGTTCATCGAGTAATGAAGCGAGCAAGCAGAAAACCGATGAAGTCGAGATGCAGGCCCATGCTAAGGCCCATAATGTGGCCCAGGAGCAGTTTTTTAAAGAGAAAAGAGGCAGAGAGTGAACAATAATTCTGGACTTGGCGACAAATCTAAGGCAAGCCTATTAGTACTATATTAAAAAAAAAACAAAGTGAATAGTATATTAGAAACAAAAATGTGACAGAATAAATTACATTTCTTTATTTTCGTTATAGTTGAGAGAGTAAATAGGTAATTTTGGTGGAATATTTTTTCTTTCTACTCTTTTTTTTTTTTGCCCTTTTTTTCTTCTTGAGCATTCAAAGTTATCTCATGTCATCATAATATAATAATGGAGCCCACACAATCAAAAATCCATTGACTTTAGGTTAAACGGTGATTTGATGAACTTTTTGATAACATTAAATTTATTTAAATTTGAAAATTGAGATTTTCTACTTTATTAAACTACTATCTTTACTGTCATATAAAGTGGATAGTAGGTAAATAAAAAAATAATTATGTAAACGAGGATATCAAATTAAAATAATTGTAATCCCTTAAAAACTACATTTTCTCTCTTTCCAGTCCGCTATTGAGTGTACTCACTTTCCAAATAAAATGAAAATTATTTTCACATTGTTTATAAACTTTAAAGAACAATAAATATAAATGTTTACATTCATTTGCGCGTGTTAGATTTCTAGTAACATGAAAGAAAAATGGATTATTTAGTAATAGTCCCTCAAATCTTCGATAGTTCCATGTTGGCCTCTCAAATCTCAATAATTGCTAGTAAGCCCCTCAAATCCGATAGGGTCTTGCAATTTGTCCCCTCGATGACAATAACTCTCAGTTATGACTTTTCTCTTAAAAGTCATCTTTGGAGAAGGGTTATTTGCACTTTGATGCTCTAGAGTTTATAACTTTTTAGCTTCAATATCTCAAAGTGTTTTGACACTTTAACACTATAAAGTTTCACATTTTTTTTTGACTTTTAATGGTTTAGAGTTTTGAACTTACCTTCTATAATGATAAAATTTATACAATTTTCACTTTGATATCCAGAGTTGTGGTTATGTGCGCGCGCGCGTGTGTTAGTTTTTATGCATGTGCAATGCACGTGGCTAAATATAAAAATAATTTATTATTTATTTATTTATTTATTATAAATAAGTCATATACATTTTGATTATTATATTTTCTATAGTTTTTATTTAAACATTATTAACAAATCAATGTGATGGATTTTTTTGCTAAACTAGGATCAATATAGTTAATCGGGATATCTTAATTAATTCCCTAAGAAAAATATATCAATTGACATAATAATATCTTCAAGTAGAATTGTAAAAGAAAATAAGTTAAGTTGATATTACGTGTCATATTCCAAACTCTACTAATCCCAAACTATAATATGGAGTCAAACATGAATAATAATATCATTATGAAGTGTATTTCTAGCAATAAAGAAACCACGTTTATTATTTTATTGAAAATAGAATTGCACATCACTTTTGGACATTTTAACCTCATGTTTTATAATAAACAATCTCAAAAGCAAATATTTTTTAAAAAGTACGACCACATATATATAAATGTATGTGAATCAAATATTTAATAAACAATTCGGTTAGTATTCGTCTAGACGTTTGGTCATATTTGATCCGACAGTTTATTTAATATTAAATAAATATTTTTTTGTATTCAGCTTATAAACAAATAGAATTTAACTAAAGTTATATTCTATTTGACTGTTTATTAACTTTTGGATAGCTTTTTATATGTTAATATTCGATTTGGCTGATTATTATAAGTTCTTACAAATATTAACAGAGTTTCTTCCCCATCACCGAGTTTCCTCCAAACAAGTACCTTTTCCTCTCTCTCATCAGCTAGGGTTTCCTCCCCCCGCCAACGCCCTCCTCCCTCCCCGCGACGACGCCCTCCTCCTTCCCCGCGACAACTCTCTCTTCCCTCTCCGAGGACCTGCGCTCCTCTCTCTTCGACGCCCTCCTCCTTCCCCGTCGACGCTGTCCTCCCTCCCGCGACGCCCTCTTCCCTCTCCACGACCTGCGCTCCTCCCTCTCCGACGCCCTCCTCCCTCCCCGCGACGACGCCCACTGGTAAAAATTACCTATGCCCTACAATAATACTTAACGAAGATCGCTGGATTTACCTTTTCCCCCCTTTCTCTTACATATTGAATATCTGACGAATAATTCGAAATCAAAGTTGCAGAATAATGCTAATCGAATATTCGCGATTGTTTTCCGAACATCAATATAAATAAACGAAGCGGATTCGAATTCGGATTACTATTCGAGTTGAATCCGAACACGAACACGAATAGCACCATATAAACCGAATTCGAATTTGAACCTTGCACTATTTGTTCAAATTCGATTCGATTCCACCCCTAGTTAAGTGACACAAACAAAGTTCGGGGGGTTATGGGTAGCACCCCTAAAGTTTAGGGAGGGTTTATGAAATTAACTCCTTCAAATAATAAAGTCCAACACCAAAATCAACCAATTTGTCTTCTGCTCCCCCTCAAAAATCATAACCCTAATCCATAAAATGGTAAGTTTGTACATAATGGAGAACAAAAGACAATGTCAAGAGATAAAAGAAGAAGAAGAAGAAGGAATTGAATAAGAATTGCTAGGTTTGTACATACTATAGAGCAAAAGACAAAACAAGAGTCAAGAAATATATTAAAATATACTTGAATCAATCAAATTATGTTATCACTCATAATTGGTATGCATCAGAGACAAAATGTATTGACAATCTTAAACTACAAAACATATTGTATGAGCTTTCTAACTTAACTTTTTAATGCAAGCAACCCACAATATTACTTTTAAAAATCTCTTAGGGCCAGAAATAAATAACAAGTTTTACAGTAGAAGTTAGTGGAACGTGGTATATTCTTAAGAGCTATTGATCTTTGCTTAATTTATTTATAATGACGATATCTTATTATTAACTAACTATAAGGTCTAGCACATTATTTTTTTATTGTGTGTTCAAGGCAGACAGAGAACTCAGGTGAGTCTTCATAGCAATGAATGCTATACAATTTAAGTATAAAAGAAAAAGAAGGGTTGATCAATGATGCAATTGGTGAGGGAGAGAATCTAGCAGCTTAAGTTAGGTTTAGATATGAATATATTATAGATGGAGATGGAGAATGGTGATTTTGAAAACAGTGGGTGTATGTGGGTAGTTAATATGATTTTTGTTTGTGTGATTTTCTTCATTCATTTTCAAGATATCTGTGGTCCTGTGGATATATATAGCTATAGCATTGCTATTCTCTTTTGGTTTTGTATATATATATATATATATATATATATATATAAGTATTACAATTGACATTGAGATCTAAGATACATGTGAGATTTTTTTTACTTTTATATAAAGAGCATCTATTTAAATAATACTAGTATAATTAAATTTTGTCAAATATTTAATCTAATTAGAAAAATAACAAAGACACATATCTGTTGAAGGAGATGAAAGTGGTAAGAAAATTTATTGTAATTTCTTGATCTGTAAAAAGATTAAACATGCAATATAATTAATTACTTTAAAATAATTTAATCTAATATAATAAGAACAAAATAGATGAAAGTGATGTGAAAATTATTGTTATTTGTTGATATGAAAAGAAATATTAATTGCTTTAAAATAATTTAATCTAATCTAATAAGAAGAAAATAACAAACGCACATAGTTGTAGAAGGAGATGAAAGTGTTGTGAAAATTGTTGTAATTTCTTGCCTTATATATATTGGTTTGTCATGTTACATGTGAGATGATAACAATTGTAAATAGAGTTCTATTTAAATAATAATACTATAATTAAACTTTGAAACTAATTATGTAGTACTATGAACTACTCGAACCACGTTGTGACCTCAGATCGGAGCCGTTTATGTTTTTTACTTTTCTTTTTTCATAATTTCGGGAAGGATTTTGTCTTTTTAATTTGTTTGGTGGATTTTGAAATACTAAAGGAATCATAATCTTAATATAAAATTACATATAAATAATATTACAATGGAAACTAAAGTGAAGTCATTGATAAACTATGTTGCGAGATATAAGAAGCCAGATAAGATGAGGGAAATTACTATAATGGATAAAAAATATACACATGATAATTAGTTACAATTGTGTAAGTAATTTTTTTTAAAATTAATATTTTTTCTTTTGCCTATATGGTGGTATGACTCTGCTCTGCAAGTAAATTTATTTGGGAATATGACTACTAATAAAAGATCAGTTTTTAAAGACACGATCACAGATAAACACATAATAGCACTATCAGATTTTAAGATCTTTAAATATGAAGGTAACATACTTTACTACTAAACTTTTTATTTAAGGTCAGTAGGGGAAAAATGCATGTTATCATAAATTGTGTTAACAATATATATCAACACAAAGATACAACTTATTGAAGAAATAAAATAATGGTAAGTAAACCAAACAAACATCCATATAACATAATAAAAAAAAATATTACACTTTTAAAGCTAATACACATGGCTTATTCAGAACAAGCTGCTAAAATAGAAGTATATCCACCAAGGCTCTTTACAAATACAATACAAATTTAAACTATTGATAAATGCAATCATCGCAATATTAAAGAGGTATGATCTTATAAGACAATACTCTAAATTTTATACAATTAAACTTAAAGATGCTCTACCAATATACATACATGCTATTGGATCTATAATGTACAGATAACTACTTTACAATAAGGTTGAGCCGTGTATTTAGCTTGCAAAGGCTACATCAAGAAGGTTGGATAGAGATGTTCATAAGAATGTCCAAATGACAATTATCACAGAATCACTAACGAGGTAGTACTAATGTTGAGTAATATCCCTTCTTTATGAAATGAACATATCAAGATTAAATATTAACATTATAATGTAGGTAATTTAATAATAAAAATATGGTTATGTTGTTTAGATCCTTGTGAAAAATGATACAGATAGAGTAAATGTAACATTACTTAACGCAACAGAAGCTCTTATTGGATGCACACTAGAAGAATTCATTGCAAAAAAAAAAAGAGATAATTCTTAACCTTATTTAAAAAATATATTAGAAACACAAAAATTTCATATATTTGAAATTAACATTTAGTCTCATTGAAACACAAAAATAATCAAAGTCTGTATTTCTAAATTCTATTGAACATCAAAATTACATTCAACTTCTTTGTGAAGTAAAATGAGAAGACAAAACATGAACTAGCTCAAGGAAAAATAATAGCACAAGAAATCCAGCTCCAGCCTGATATCACAATCAATATAGACGATGGAGACACAACTCTAGAATTGTTCAAAAAAAAGATAAAGGTGGAGAAGAATTGATCTTAATTCAATAAAAAATAAAACAGAAAGAATAAAAGATTTATTTTCTGAATATTTTATAAAATAACTTAATTTTATAAGTAATACCAAGAATCTTGAGAAAGGATTTTCATGAACTCTTTTAAATATTTTTATATGGTTATGTGGATTCTTTTATCATATAAAATACACTAGAGTTAGCATTAATATGTAGTTTCATTCTAGCCCACTTTTAATTAATCATCTTGGCTTTTTAGCTTTAATTGTTCATCTTTATTTTATAACGCTACTGTTTTAAGTGTTTTATACTTTTACAACATTATACTTTCAAACTTGGTTTCATGCTGGTCCAAATCATGAGAAAATTTAAATTGGCTTTAGATTACATGTTGTTTCCTGTGAATTTAATTATCAACATAAAAATTTAAATTTGGTGTAACCCATTCAAACAAACATCAAAGAAAATAAATAATCACAATGCTAGAATTTAAAGACATAAGTGAGCAAAAACGATCAAAATGGAAGTGAGGAATAAATTTTAGTAAGGAAATAAATCAAAAATATTTAATTATAATATTTAACCACGTGCATTGTACATGCATAAAACCTAGTGTGTGTAGCTGTTGTTCAAATAGACATTGTTTGTGTTGATACAATTATAGGATAGAAGTGTCGATACAATTATAGGATAGAATTAAACTTTATTTTTCCAGAATTTTAGTTTGAGATGCTATTGATTTGAAATTAGAAGTTATATTTACAAAATTGATTAGATGCTGCTTGATATTTATGAGCAGCGATAATAACTAGATGATAAATCCCAGACTGGATTTTCCTATATAAATGAGCAAAAGGCTAAGGTGCTTAACGACTCATAAATTTCGGCAAAAGCTAAAAAAGGAAGGACTCTGTATTTATCTCCGTGGTTAGTATAGCATTAGTAGATTAATTGATGTAATCCGTTGCTAATTTAGAAATGTTATTAAGATTACGACTGTAAAATTCCGATTCTAACCCTACTATATACTCGTAATTTCAAATTGAACTTCGAACACCCCTCAAAGACCCTAGATTTCTTCATCTCCTCTCAACTCCCGACCCTATAAATCACCCGCCGCCGGCCACTGCAGCCTACGAGCGTTGAGGGGCGTTGCCGCAGTCGCTGCATACTCTCCCCCGGCCGATCAAATTTAGGGCAAAGTCGACATCTTTGCCGTTAAAACTACAGCAAATTGGGAGAATTTCGTCCTCTTTCTTATGATAATAGAGGAATCAAAGGTAAATTTTCGTGTGACTCTTATAAATTGATGATGACTGATGTAAAAAGCTTTGATTTTGAGAAGTCTTTTGCTTTGTTTTGTTTTGATTTCACTTTTGAATGTCAAATGGGTTTGAGTAATAATTTTGGGAAAATATTAGTTAGAGAACATGTAGGATCTGAAATAGATACACTAGAACACTAGAAAGAGGGTGAATAGTGTTCTTTTAGAATATATGCAAAGTAGATTATAAATTGCAAAGAAAGAATGGCAATCTCAGAAAATAAACATCACAAACACAAGCATGTATACTGGTTCCATCTCCCCGGTGTACATCCAGTCCCCAAGCAAATCCCGCTTGAGATTTTCACTATGATTTTGAAACCTTACAAAATCAAAAGCAAACCTGGCCAATTTGCAAGACCATGTAAATTGCAACACCAATTGACAAGACCATGCCAATTGCCACCCAATCTCTAAACCAAGAGATCAACCCTCTCAAACCCGAGAGAAATCATTTTTGAAGCAAGAACACAATTGATCCTATAAGCCTTGAATGTGTAGTGAAGTGCTGCAGTGGCTTAGGATTCTTTTAACTCTCTGAATATTGTCTATACAATCTCTAAGAATGATTGAAACCAAGGCAATAACAGAAACTCTCTTTTTCTAAACACTTAGCATGAAAATCTGGAAAATTAGAGAGTGAATATGCACAAAATGTTTGATCTTGCAAGTGTAAAACTTGGTTGTTGTTTTCTGATGTTTAAACCTATTTATAGCCTCTGAAATGACATAATTTTAAACCCAATTAACGTCCACAAAACGGCTATAAACAGTCACTTATTTTAAACCTGAAATCTGGAAAAACTGCATCTGTAGTCGACTACAAGTCATAGTAGTCGACTACACTGAGTCTAAACAGACTCTGTGAAGTCAGAAAATTACTCAGTAGTCGACTACAAGGCATAGTAGTCGACTACACTGTAAACTCAGCTTCTGGAATTTTTCTGTTTAGTATTTTGACTATAACTTTCTCATCCGATATCGGAATGAGGTGATTTAAGATTTGTTGGAAAGCTCTTGAAGAGACCTACAACTTTGGTCTTTTGAGTTTTTCCAGATTCTAATTTCTAAGGGGTGTAAATAAAATGTTTTAAGACTCACTTAATATCTATAAACTCTAATGGCTAACATAGGGGATTTCTATTGTTAACCAACACACTAAGCATGTGTTAGTGTGTTCTAACACTATGTGTGTGCATGTGTGTGAGTGATCAAGGCTTGTACAAATTTCTAAGCAAAGAAAATATAAAATTACATTTTGACAATAAAGTATATCTTCTTCTTTGCTTCATTTTGCCTTGAACTCATCTATGTCTTGAGTATCTCTTTGAATATAATTATTGATATAGCTCTGATACTGCAAAACAAATGTTAGCACATAATACACACAACATATAATATTTGTTATCATCAAAACAAACTAATCTTGGGGTCAAGATTCCTAACAGAACATTGTATTCGTTAATTGTAATTATGCAATTTAGTGACACAAGTATATTAAAATTGTCCAAGTCACGGTATAATCCACTCTACTTAAAATTGTTCAATAATCCCACAAAAAACTACAGGTATACTATTCATTAACCTTTGACGCTCACTTGGTCGAATTCATTGAGAAGTATTTATTATAATCAGTAATTTTGTAGGATACAAGCACGATTTTGCTTGTTGTGGTGCTTTTATTATTACTATGGTTATTTTTACTGAATCGTAAATAGCTATCAGAGATGGCGATTCCTGAGAGCAATGTGCCGGGCGATAATGATAAAAGCAATGGGAGTGCATGGTTAGAAGACATTGAGTGGCTGTCTACCCTTTCGGAGCCTGAGCTGGTAAGGATCGAATGGTCTTCTCTCCTGTGAAATTGTTACTGACCCTTTGGAAATATATAAAACGATTATATGGATTTGCCATTTTATCCCATGCTAGTTGGGGTCATTAGGTGCTTGAGTAGAAGCAAACCTTCAATTTATTCTCAAAATGCTAAGTTGCTAACAATATAATTCTTCTGGTAATCAATAATTCAGAAAGCTATTTTAGAATGAGAAAGCTATGGAACCTATCACATATATAATAGCAAATGAAATAATTTGTAATGCAAAAAACCAGAGAAATATAGAACAATTCCTTTAAGAAGAACTTTGTTTTTGGTAATTGGAAAATGATTTCTTAAAATTAAAACCTACACAATTTGCTGAAGTGGGGTTTGGATTTCACAATTTTGGGCTACACTTGCAGATTGCAACATGCATCACATATTATACAACTATGTCTGAACATATCAGATACGTACGTATGCGTTTGTCTTTTGTAGATTATCATGTTGTTAAGTAAAAGTCCATACGTAAATCAAAATCGGTGACATCTTTAGGCAGCTATATAATACATTTGTTATTTTACAATGTTGAGGTTTCTGCAGTGTGGCCGTGCTTCCAATCAGTTACCTTCTTGCTTCAAGCTAACATAAGTTGATTTTATGTTTCTCTCAAACCAAACCTTTCAAACTGCATCAATTGTTGAAGGAAGTTTTGCCTTCCTTAGACATTAGGTTGTGGGTTAACTATGGAGCACAATGCTTCCATGAAAAAAATTGACAAAGTTCTATGGCTGTTCTCAGCTGACATCATTCACTTCAAAATTTTAAATGGTGCCAATTTTGTGCCGGGGGAAACTATCGCTGAGTGGGGCTTGCTGTACACCATTAAAGACCAGTAGGTGGTTATGGAAGCTACCTTTTTTATCTTGCAGGATTGTGCAACCATTAGGCATACATGCAAAAGTAATATGATGGAAATGTAGTTAGATGGTATTAACTATGTATGTGGAATTATACCTGAAAGAATATTATTTGCATGGTCATACATGGTAAGCTAGTAAGTTATGTTTTGAGAGCAATAGTCTACATCTGGATGTATATGTTAAGTTAACTGTGTGGATATGAATATTTTATAGAAAAGAACGGTGGATAGGGGCATAAGAGAAAAAAAAGCAGGGGAAACTGTAGGTGGAACACTCAAATATTTGAGAGTGAAAGTGGTGCATCTGCCTGTTCTGCTATTCATAACATAATTCTCATCTGTAATTTATGGTTGTCATACAAAATGTCTTATATCTTCATTGAAACACAAAAATAGAATATATGTTATTTGCAAATAATATAGTGTTAGTTGACGAAACTAGAAGATGTATAATTTCTAAAGTAGAAAGATGGAGACAAGCTCTTGAATCTAAAGTACTGGAACTTGAAATACTCTAGTAATTTTCTCATTCTCACTATTTTTCTTTATATATTATTGTAAATAAATTATGGTATAGGTATATGCATAGAACCTTGTAATTTTGTTTATAGATCTGTTTTTTTAGTAAAATCCATCACACTCTCTCGTTGTATCTTTTATTAGCCCAAAATATAAAAGATATTCAATTATCTTGGCTCCTATTTTATTTTCATGACAATGAATCAAAGGGAATGTTCTAGAAGAAATAAAGAAAGAAAAGGAAAGAGAAAGTTCATTCCTAGTAAAATTAATGTTCTACTGTTTCAATTATGTTTGGAAGGAGCACATGTCCTTCATTCATCCAAATTTGCCTTGCCTCTTGTTGGTTTATTATATAGTAATAACTAGCCTATCGGACGTGCATCATGCACATGCTAAAAAAAATCATAAAAGGGAGTTAGCCTATGAGTATTTCCATTCGATCTGTATTGTAAGATTCAAAATTTTATACATTTTAAGGGTTAATCTCAAAATAAATCAAATTTCATGAACAATTTTGTAGTAATATCATTTTTAATTTATGGATATTTTTGTTATGTTATCCACTAATAATCCATGGTTTATGGTGAAGTTCAGTAGATAACATATATATATATATATATTGAAATAAATTTTGAATATAAATAAAACAAAAGTATTTATTTATTTTCTAATTTTTAGTTAGTTTTTAACTGTGATGTGAGAAAAATACTTATTTTTAAAATGATTAATTTCTGTTTTTTTAATGTTAGAACATCAAATTAGCCGTATTTTGACTTTACATCTTTGAATCTTGGTGTTTTTAGATTGGACTGTCAAAAAGGTTTACTTGATTTATGGATCTAAAATTGAAGTAACAAAGGCGTAATTTTAGATAAACTTAAACGAGTTTACCGTATAATTAAAAATATCAAAATTTGAAAGTTTGATATCAAATTTAAAATTTAAGTGTTGAAATTTGTAAGACTCATCATATCAAGTTTGCACTTAACCATGAAGGTGCGATGAAAATCATATCAAGCTTGTTTTTATCCATGAGGGCACAATGAAATATCTACAGAAATCATTCTAGAATTTGTGCATTGGGGAGAAGTATCAGCAAATGACAAAATTGTCCTTGGAAAAGAAGCATGAACCAAATGAATGTCCACTGCTCACACATTCCTGGTTATCCCTGAATTGGTTTTCTAAGTAGTATAGATGTAGATTATTATTGTTAGTTTCAAACATCAGTCCTTTTTTTTTGTATATGCTTCATAGTTTCTAACTCTTTCATTTTAGTTAATTAATCTTTCCAGCTGAAGTGGTATGCATCTCCATTTCCTTGCGTATGGTCCTGTAATCCCTCACACAGACATGCAAAATTTGGAAAATTTTGGTTCAAGAGTGGTTCTAATATAGTTCATTGCAGGATTTCCTAATCAGTTTAAAGGATCTGGCCATTAAACGCGCAAAGAATGCAGGATATAAGGATCTCGGTGATAAATTTGATTTGCGGTTGCTTCGTGCACTTGGTATGGTAACCGGCCTTCACTGGCCGTTGCTATATTTACAATATTTAATTGTTTAGGTGAAAATTATCTTTGAAAGGTTAAAATAATTCATTCTGTACTTCAGCGATTTATTGTAAATTTTTATTCCTGTGGTCTGGAGCTCATCAATTGTGACTGCCAGTGTCTGGTAGGTATTAGTATTAGATATTTGTGCTGTTTTGTTAGGCTATTCATACCTTCCGTCTGCTACTTGTAAATCCCTACTGGCCTTTTCTGAGAATTACTCCAATTAGAGTTAATTTCTGTAAAAAAATGATATTCCCTTTTTCCAGTTAATTTGATAAAACTGTTCTTATTTTTCTGTTAGTCAAATTTGGGGTCTGAAAGCCACACATTAAAACACGGAACACCTTAGCAAAATTTAGTAAAACAATTTCCTTAATAATGGCTGAAGGTTCCGAGATCATGGTAAAACTTATAACTACAAACTTGACAAACTTGAGTTTATGAAATGTTGATGAACCTATTTGGCTGGCTTAGCGCTGGATTTAACATATTAGTCTTTGTGATTGGAGGCAAAAGGATTGTGCATTGAGCAGAGGATCTATCCTTTCCTCTCCCTCTTAGCAGCGTTCGTCTATATGAGATAGCTTGCAACTTGTATTTGTAACATGCACTATGTGATTTTGACTAGTATATAAAGATGATTATTCCTGCGGATTTCATGCACATATGAGCATTTGTGTTTGTCTATGTAAGACAGTTTGCAACTTGTATTTGTGGCATATGTCATGCAGCCACCATCTTTGACAAAGATGGAGCTGGCCCCACCAAATTCCCATCACCGAATGCTTTCATCTTGTCACCGAATTCGGTGAATGACAGGGTAGAAAATTTGTGGCCGTAACCTTTGAAAAAGAAAAAGTGGGCGGACCCGGTCCCATCACAGGAAATAATATTTTTTATTAGTGCGTAGTGTTTTCTTAAACACTATAAATAGGCCCACAAATCTTTAGAAAAAAAATCATTCCAGAAACAACTCCACTTATAGAAGAGTAAGAGAGAGAAAAGAAAGGCTTAGAGAAAAGTCCTTGTGAGAGAAAATTGTGAGCAATTTTCAGAGTGAGATTGGGTTGTGAGTTTGGGTGTGAAAAACACTTGTAAAATTTCTCCCCTTTAGTGAAAGATCTGCAGCAGCCCGTGGACGTAGGCAAGTTTGTGCTGAACCACGTAAATCTTGCGTGTCCCCCCTTTTTGCGCATTTATTTCGCTTTCTCTCAAATCTGATAATAGGGAAATCTGAGTAATTTCCCAACAGCATACACTGACATTCTTACTAGCATATAAAGATGATTGTTCCTGAGGATTTCATACATATATGAAAATTAATGTCAGTTCATTCACTTATCAAGCATCACACACATTCTTTCGAGCAATATCCATTTTCCCTACCCTTGTTTATTCATGAATATTGTAATTATTTGCTCGATCCTTAAGTTTGCATACTTTATGAAATATTAATTTGTCGCTTCATTTCTTCAGGTTTTATATTGTTAGAGTTTTTCAAGGAACGTGTAAGGAACACCTCTGAAGTGCCTGATTCAGCAGAGATATTGAGATTGTTAAATCAATGTGGTTTGTGTTCCCTGAATGTCAAGGAGAAATCTGACTTTACTTCATCCGTCGCTGTAGAAACAAATGCTTTCAGTATTGTCACTCCACTACGAAAGAGGATGTGGGAAGGGTAAGTACAATATCATGATGCAAAGTTTATTATCTGCTTTGAGTTTAATAGTAGGGAAAAGAAAGTCCGATATAGGATCTGCTATAATAGTGATTGCACTGATAGCTGATGCCCAATGGTGACGCATACAAGAAAATTCGTGCTTGGACAGTTTTCTTCATCACCATCTCTGTCTATGGTTTTCTATACAGGATCCTATATAAGATTTCAATGGTGTAAGTGCCTGGGTAGGAAAAGTACAAATTATGTTCTGCGCACATTGGCATTGGCATTCCATCGGCTCTACATTCTAGACATTTCAGATTATCAAAGCCAGTTGTTATCTCGAGATTCTAAATACATGATTTAAGCAACCAGTCGTTGCACATCCGGCTAAATTCTTCAAATTGGAGATGCTTTTCATGCTTACAGTCACTTTTTTATGCATCTATGTGCTTATTTTAGTGAAATTGTTTAAATGAGTCTGCTGTGATGGGCTTATTTTGATTGCCTCATACGGTTGACTCATTACCATATCATATAACTGCAGGCAATGTGAAGAGACAATGAAACGTCACAAGAGGCAGAAACTAACAAATGCAGCAGATAAATGAATTGCTGTACCATTATCTTCTCCTAAAATGTTCGAGAATGTATTCACCAAATATGCAACCTACACAGCATCTCTCTATGGCCAAAGTTCGTCGAGTACAGAACCTTCAAAAGAATCGGATGGGAAAATTAGGATTTATTGAGCTGACTCAAAATTTTGGGATAAATGTTTTGTTGTTGTATAGTGTATTACGAGGAATCAGGTTGTCTCTAAACACCATAGTTACTTTCCTCCTATGAATGACTTACATATCTACCTGCTACACACTTACAAACACACATGCACACACTAAAAGGGTGAAAAAGGGAGTAGAATTTGAATGCTTATAGGCTCCAGACA